CGGGGGGCTTGTGAGACCCTATTGTCACCTAGATCTATAAAATCTTCTGCGACTCCCGCTAGTTCTTTATCGACCAAGCTGCTAAAACCCGGCATTTGCTGCCAGGCTACACAGATGGCCGATTTTAATTATTTTCAGGTCCTTGGGCTCCACAAACATAGAGCCCAAGGATCTGAATTTCTTGAGTGCTAGAGACGGGCAGCGACATAGTATGTGCACGCTGTCCTCCTTTTCCTCGCCGCAGAATCTACAACTACTCTCTTCAACTAAGCTTAAGTTGAATAAANGTGCCTTGAAGGCCCAATGCCCTGTGAAAAGACCGATACACAAACTTTGTCTGTACTTACTCNTTGTCAGTAGTTNTTTTGTCCTACCTGGCAATGGCTGAGTCATCAGCGCCTTAACTTGGCGGCAGCTCTTCAGTATCTCCCAAGAGATCCTGTNCTCCCTTTTCAGCCAGTCCTTGATATGGTTTTTCCCTGTTGCAAAGGGAACTCCAACTATCTGACAGACTAGTTCCTCTAAGGTACTTAGTTTTGCCAGACTATCAGCCACTTTATTGCCTCGAATACCTTGGTGGCCAGGTAACCAGACAAGCGTGATGTTGTTTCGCTCGCCCAATCTGTTTAGAGTTTGCATACAGTCCCAAACCACTAAAGATTCAGTAGTGGTCTTGGCAAGAGCTCCTATGGCTGCTTTGCTATCCGTATAGATATTGATCCTCCTAGTTCTTGTCTCTCTAGAATAGGAGTCTTACACATTCCAGAATGGCCAGGACTTCCGCTTGAAAGACCGTAGCCAGTTTACCCAGAGAAAAAAACTCTCTGTGATTTGATCCTGAACAGTAGATGTCTGCTCCATAGCAGCCGTTTGCTCCAGATCTATNAGTGAACCATACATGAGTGCCTGGCTGGATCTGAAGATTTCTGTTTTTCCAGTCTGCCCTGGTGATCAAGTTTATGGAGAACGCCTTGTCCACTTGGCGTATTCTGGATATTCTGTCTTGCTTTAAGGTAAAGGAANGTTTATGAAGAAACTCGAGCTTGGTATGACTTACTCCGTAATCTCTCCACTTCTCCTGACACTTTAGTCTATATGCTGTGAGTTTGGCAGCGCTGATGATAGTCAATCTTANAGGTGGAATGCAGAGCGCCACTTCCAGCGCTTCTCTTGGTGTCGGTCTCATAGTCCCTACCGCAACCCTCAAGTAATTACCTTGTAGGCTTTTTAGTAGGTTCTTTAACTCCATCTTTTCCACTCTGGGCCACCAAACAACAGCAGCATATGTTAACCTCGGTACTAGTTTTGTATATCTATAAAGCAGTATTTAATTTAATACCCCAGGATTTTCCCATTGCTCTTCTACACGCCCAGTATAAGGCGTAGAATTTGGATCTTTTTATATCAAGATGTGTTTTCCAATTCAGTTTGGTGTCTAAGTAGACTCCCAAATATTTTACTGACTGGACGTATTCTATGTCTTCCCGCCAGAGTCTAAGCGGCTCAATGGCTTTAGGTTTGTATTTTGTAATAAAAATCATGGCTTTGGTCTTTGATAGATTAGCCCTAAGTCCTTTTAATTGACACCAGTCTTGCGTGATCTTAAGGGCTTTTCCCATAGTCTCCTTAAGTATTGAAAGAAAGTTGCCCCGCACTATAATGGCCACATCATCAGCGTAGCCAAAGGCAAGGAAACCTGTTTTCTGTAATTTATATGAAAGTTCGTCCACGACCAAACACCACAGCAGGGGGGATAAAATTTCCACCTGCGGATATCTTGTGGCGGGAAAACCATGCACGTTTGAGTCCCCATGATTAGCAATCAGAGTTCTTCCTGTTAGCATGCTTTGTGTCCAGTCTGCTAATGCGGCTGGAATGTCGTGTCTGGTCATCGCCTCTCCAATTACATCATATGAGGTGCTATCAAATGCTCCCTCAATGTCCAGGAAAACGCCCAGGGCATATCCTTTTGCCTCCAATTGCTTCTTCACCTCGCTCAGAAGGTGGTGCAAGGCAGTATCCGTGAATCTGCTCTCTCTGTAAGCATATTGGGAAGAAGCCAGTNGATATGTAAGCAAAGGTCCGTTCTTCAAGAATCCGTCGATCAGCCTCNCCAACGTCTTAAGTACGAAAGAGGTAANGCTGATCGGTCTGAAATCCATGGCTGAAATATATCCATTTCTGTCAGGCTTGGGGATAAATACCACTCTTGTACCACTCTAANCCTGAGAAACATGTCTTAGGGCTATACTTGCCCTAAAGAGTTTAGTAAGTNGACCGACTAGTACCCTCAGTTTCTTCTGAAGAAGGACGAGAGAGATACCGTCTGGTCCAGGTGCTTTATATGGGTTTAAGGTCTTAATAGCCCATTCAACTCCCTTTGGATGGACAACCTCAGCGGCTAGACGCCACTCCCTGGGTTTATATACCCTAGGCTTTGGCCGGCAAGGTTGTATGTTATANTGCGGCTGGAATGTCGTGTCTGGTCATCGCCTCTCCAATTACATCATATGAGGTGCTATCAAATGCTCCCTCAATGTCCAGGAAAACGCCCAGGGCATATCCTTTTGCCTCCAATTGCTTCTTCACCTCGCTCAGAAGGTGGTGCAAGGCAGTATCCGTGAATCTGCTCTCTCTGTAAGCATATTGGGAAGAAGCCAGTAGATATGTAAGCAAAGGTCCGTTCTTCAAGAATCCGTCGATCAGCCTCCCCAACGTCTTAAGTACGAAAGAGGTAAGGCTGATCGGTCTGAAATCCATGGCTGAAATATATCCATTTCTGTCAGGCTTGGGGATAAATACCACTCTTGTACCACTCTAACCCTGAGAAACATGTCTTAGGGCTATACTTGCCCTAAAGAGTTTAGTAAGTGGACCGACTAGTACCCTCAGTTTCTTCTGAAGAAGGACGAGAGAGATACCGTCTGGTCCAGGTGCTTTATATGGGTTTAAGGTCTTAATAGCCCATTCAACTCCCTTTGGATGGACAACCTCAGCGGCTAGACGCCACTCCCTGGGTTTATATACCCTAGGCTTTGGCCGGCAAGGTTGTATGTTATANTCAAAACCTGGGAAGTGGACTTTCATTAAATGTTTGATTGTGTCCGACGCCTCCTCAGTAACATTCCCCGTTGGAAGCTTAAGACAGCCCAGTTGGGGACGGTGATCTAAGCTGAGAATTCTGTGAAGCCTGGATGCCTCTGGGGCACTTTCAATGCTTTCGAAGACGTGTTTCCGGCTTCTGTACTTTGCTTTCTTGATTTCCTTGCTGTACTTTCGTTGGGAGCTTCTGAAAGTTTNCCAGTGTGCTGCAAGTCTGGTTGTTTTTGCCTTACTGAATTTCTTCCTCGTTTCCAACCTGAGATTTTCAAGCTCTTTGTTCCACCAGTGGATCTTTGTCACTGGGCTCCTTGGTTTTGGTGGGCAGTTTAACTCGGAAGCATTTGCAATGGCGTTCTTTAAGAAGTCCGCCGCATTTTCCAAATTATTTTTGATCTTGAAACTAGTTGGGGCCTCAACGAGCTGCGCCTTAAAATCAGCCCTAAAGCCCTTCCAGTTGGTTTTTTGTGGGTTACAAACCCAGCTGATTTGCGGTAGTTGCTGAAGAGTTAGGCGTATTTGTCTGTGATCAGAGCCAGAGGGCTTATTTGAGACCTTCCAGTCGTTCACCAGACCCGCCATCTTCTCCGTACAAACCGTGATATCAATGACTTCCTCTCTTCTGGAGTCTTCAGGAATGTTGGCTCGTTTCCTCTGGTAAGAATGGTTAGCCCTGTGCCCACTAGGAAGCCATGCAGACTCTCCCCCCGCGGGTTGATGTTTGCACTTCTCTATCCTACATGATGGGAGTTTGCATCTCAACCCAGCAAGAGTTCAAGCCCCCCGGCCTCCGCATAGGCTACCAGGGCTTTTACCTCTTTTGGTGGTGGATCGTCCGTGGAGGCGTAGGGCATATATACTGACCCTATAAGTACCTCCATGTCCTCTTCCTCGGTCAGCTTTACTCTCACCTTGATAACTGTGAGGTCCTCGCTGCTGAGCTGTGGCCGAAAGATAGCATTTAGTCCTTTAACTTCTATGCAACATCTTACTCTTTTTTCCGAGTGTGCTTTGTATAAACAGTCACATCCACTCAGACTTTATTGAACCGTTAACAATCCAAGGTTCTTGGATTAGTGCAATACTTGTATGCATCACAGCCATGCTTCTGATAAGATAACCGAGGCGCTTTTGCTGTGGTGCAAATTAATTTGGGTCATTTAGATGCCGGGAAGAGCCATTTTTAGGCAGTCTCGACATCTTCCGACGCCTTCTTCTTCTCAGTCGCCTCTCCGCGCTTCTGTCTCGCCACCTTAACGATGGCTCGGTCGAGACCGAGAAAAGGCCTGAAGCCACAGTGCTTCAAAGCTTCCAGTGCCGAGTCTCCAACCAGGCAGGAGAAGTGGGAGCTCAAGGCGACCTTACTGTACGTCTTCCTATTGACGATCCATTCATTGGTTGCCAGCCCTGTGTTCTGTTGGTTAAGGAGCTTTAGAACCTCCTCAACATCTATGTCAGGTTTCTTCACATGCACCACCCGGTGTCGCCTGGGTAGCTCACCGGGAGCACACGCAGAGGAATTCCCCTGAATTTTGCTACGGGGGAGTGGACCTTAAGCCATTCCGTCGACTCTTTAGTGGCGCATACTACAATGAGTACGCCATCCCTTTCCCAGAAAACGGTGAAGGTGGGGGCTTTGTCATTTTCGGACATGCCGAAAATGAGAGTCTTGATCAGTTTCCTGATCTCATCCGCCTCATCGGTTTCTATCTTCTTGTCAGGGTAGCCCTCCAGTACGAGGGCCATCCTAATCAGTCCTATTGTTGCCTGTGCATACGACCCCTCATTTTTGGGTCTCTTGCCCTGGCAATTTTTTAAGGAGCTGGGAGTAGTGTGCTCCGGCCTGGCGCGCTTTGCCGCGCCACCCAAAGCCCGCCCACCCACAGCTCCACCTTTTGAGCAAAAAGCTGCGGGGGTAGAGGGGGCTTTAGTGGCCCCACTTTCTCCGGCTAGCATCTGTTTATTATAATGGCGCCTAGCGGCCCCGCTATATCTTATGCGGTATTTTGGGGCTTCTGAGCCCGCTCCCGCACTACAAGATTCCTTTGGGCGTTCACCTCCAGAGAAGGCTTCGCCCTTGAGGACTGATTTGGGGGTAATTGTATTTTCTTTTTCGAACTCCATTTTGTTCCCACGAGTATCGCGGTCGCGCGGACTCACCCAGCCAGAGTTGCGAATGGCTAAAGCTTGGCTCCGTACTCCTGGATTTCGCCCGGTATCCAGAAGACACCGTTCACGACGCAACTTTCTTTGCGCCACGCAGCTTTCGACACGGTCGCTCACACCTTACCTTGAAGGATTCCTCTTAGTTGGTCACAGACGTTGATCTCTGAGCGGATAACCACCGCCCGCGACCTTAAGCCCCACCACCCGCTTTGGCGCGAGAGCCCACAGCCCCCGAGGACACCAGATGCTCACTTTCTGTGGTCAATTGTTGTCCCGTCAGATTACACTTCCATTGTGACGGCACGACCAGGCAGATCCGCCAGCGTCCAGACAGGAGCTGACAATCAATGCCCGGCCACGCCGCCACCAGCACATGCTGGAAACAAAATAACGTACCGTGTAGTTACTGCAAGGCGGCCAGACCACGTGCGCACCGAGCGCTCCGCAAGCCTCGAGCTCCCGCCTCGGAGTGTAAACCGTTTCCACCTACAAGGTGGAAACCCGTTCGGGGAAAAGTTTTAAGTTTACTATAATATAATAATGTATATACAAAAACTACAAATGTTTATATTCCTTTTTTAGAAAAATTAAAAAAACTTAAAATATAAAGTGTGTGATACTCTAAGGAACAAAATAGAAAGTGTGTGATACTCTAAAACCTTACTTTTTCAAAACAAAGTAAAAACCGGCGCCAAGTACACGCACAACACTTATTGTATTTAAATTAAATTATTTTTTAATTTATACTCTAAAAACTTCTTTCTCTATAAAACTTGTTTTACAACATTTATATATTACAAAACATTCTTCCTCTAAAAACCCGTTTTATACAAAAAAAGTGATATCACAAAGTAGCACCAAGTAAATTTTGTACGTTCCTTTTGTACATTATATATCCTAATCTAAGTATACCTAACTATTTTGTTAAATTTTCGTTACGGAAAAAATTTTGAAAGAAAGAATTGTCTGGGCCTATTAAATTAACAAAAGGATTTGTAGTGAACCTTGTCACCCGAGGCCCCGAAGCCTATCGAAGAAGACAAGGTGACACAGCAGCAGGACGAAGGACAGAATTCACCAGAATTTTTGTCTCCGAAGTCGGAATCAGGAGAGGAACAAACGTGAGAGGAACGAGTGAGGACCAATAGACCTGAAAGAAAGACGGTTTTATTATAGTTAGCGTTAGTTTGTTAAGACTCGTAAGTAGCAACGTAACCAGCGGAACTTCAAGTCCAACAATTATTTTAGTTTTGCTTTGTATGTATATGTAAGTTTTGTTTTAGTTTTATTTTATGCTTACCTGTGTAGGGGGTTGGCGGCTGGTCGTACGTACCTGAAAAATAAGAAAGTTTCGGTTAAAGTTTATTTTTGTTAATGGTAAGCGTGTTTTGGGTAAAAACATTAATGCAATGTAACGTAGGTATTAAGGAGTAAAATACGTACCGTTCCACCACACAAACAAGGTTAACACATACACGTAATAATAGCTCTTAAGGACAAAGTAGAGATCACACTACACAAACACTAAAAAACAACACTTAAGGAAAAAAAGACATACCACAAAGTTTACACATGCAAACACTGTCCAAACACACAAAAAGAATTCCTTAAAACACACATAGAAATTATACATATACAGACACACACGTACATCAAGACACTCCATAAAAGCTCATTCATACACCATACACTCCACAGACATACATAGTACTTATACACACACACTCAGCCCTTAAAGCACACTTATACATAACAGGGGTAATAATAAACACATACATTAAGGGAAATCACACACGGCAGACACATCACACACACCCATGCATGCTACACACACGAATAAAAATCCTTATACCCGACATTTAGCCCATACCACAATTACACGAATGTCAACATTAACAAACCATTTATACACTAAACTATTACCACACGACACACCCACACACACACCCAAAATTTCGCCTTAAGGTGAAACTGTTACCGAGATAACAGGGGCGAAAGGAGCACTACTTCGCGCCGGCGTAGGAGAAGCGAGCGCGAAGAAGGCGTGCGACGCCGTCAGGACAGTCTGATACGAACTATCGTGCCGTACGGACGTGTGTCGCGACGAGCACGGTCTTAAAATAGTTTGTGCGGCTCAAAGTGCGAATAAACGCAATATTAAGTAGTATCCTGTATGTTAAGGAACGATTAGTGTAAGAAACATTTAATAAAAGATATATATATACTATAAATACCTGAAAAACACTGTGTCGAGTTGTGTTCGTTCTCGCCCGTCCATCCTGGATCCTGAGATCTCGTGGCAGCATCCTTGGATCTGAAACACAGGATAAAACCTTGACGCTTGGAGGATAAAGTGTCTGGCGACCGTGGCACATCATTATCGTGAGTACCCGACTAATTGTAAGACTAACCCCGGTCACAACCTAACAAGTAAACCCAGCAAAAGTTTACTTTCCGTGAAAAATAAAAAAAAACAAAAAGAAAAATTTTGTCAAAATGAAAAATATTTAATGCAAAAAAACTTGGCGTGGCTGCACCAAAAATTTATTTATAGACAGATGTTACGTCCTGGAGACTCCACGGTCCCTTTTTTTTGCGACGCGACGCGCCAACGCATAGCAAACCCTTTTTTTTAAATAATAAAAAGCAATAAATAACTCGAACGGATCTCCTATCGTCTGGAAACTTAGATTCCAGACGATAGGAGAGCAAACGGAAATCATATCGGCACCCAAAAAGATAACCTGCGCCTGGTATAAACCTGAAATTTTATGATAAAGCAAGAAAAATTTAGGTAAATATGCATTTTAGGTCACACATCTCCGATTTTGATGTGTTTCAGATATGTTGTAGGGCAGGTCATACCGAGTAATTATGTGAAAAAATTTCGTGGAAAACGGCCTTGGTTTAGCAGATATGGCAGTTCAAAGTTTTGGAACAATATTAGTATTTTTGTTCTTTTCGTTCGCGTTTGAAGCGTGTAAGCAGGGGGGCTGTGCCCTTCTTGCACCCCCCCCCAGAACCTAACCTAACCTAACCTCTAAAAGAAGCTTTTCACAAGAACCTAATGTAATTGGAAATCGTTATTTTTTTCCGAGGGGGGTTACGACTTCCGATTACATTCGCTTCTTGTGAAAAGTCGGTACTTGATTTTCGAGGAGGAGAGCACGGGGAGAGACGAAGCCCCTTTCGGAGGTTATGTTAGGTTAGGTTTTGGAGGAAAGTGCAGAGAGGGCGCAGCCCCCCCTGCCTACGCGCTTCAAACGCGAACAAAATGTACGTGATACCGAAAAATAAGAATTCATTCGTGAAACTTCTTTCTCTTGTAACTTTTTAACAAACAACGACCCCTGCCTAAAACCTTCACATTATTACTCGGGACAATGACCTACACAACATATATAAAAATTATTGAA